ATGTTTGAAAAATGAAGCACCAGTTTTCATTTTTTAAATTTACTTTATATGACATTTTTAAGTTTTTTGCTTCTCTCATAGTTGCTTTATTTATTGATAAATGATTAAGTGTGTCTATATCTAATCCAATATCTTAAACTAAAAAATTGTACACCACTGCAACTTTTCTTTATGATAACTTTGCTGCTGTTGATAATTTCAAAACTGATGAAGTTGTGCAATACCTTATCTTTCTGGAGTTAGTATCAGGTATTGGTTTGTCAAAACATTCATCCCCACTAGTCTCAATAACCATAGTATCAGAATCAGTATTAATATCAGTATCTTCTGTAGATGAGTTTTCATTTTGGATGTTTCTGATCCTCTTTGATGGATGAATTTTTGTTGGGTCAGCTACTTTATTAGAACAATAGCTTGCTCTTCCTTGTGTTTCTATCTGCTTATTGTAAAAATTTTTGTCTTTACTTGTTAGCCACACCCTTTTCAAATCAGTTATATCAAATAATTGAGTAAGAGAAGTGTTAACTGATTTTTTTTTGTTTTCTTAAATATTTATCATTATCTGTTATTAGATTTTTTTTCTTTATGATGAACTGATTACATTGATAAAGAAGAAAATGAAAATTTTTTCCGCAATTCCCTCAGCAAATTATTTTGACTCGATTTAGCATTGACTAAACACAATATTGATTTGAATCTTCTAATCACTGTCGCTTTAGATGGCATTTTTTTAAAAACTGTTTAAATTGTCCATACTGACTACATGTTTTCTAGTAACATTGTGAAATCTATTTTTTTCTTAAATCTTTGTCCAATTTTTCTTGTTTTTGTTAATAAAGTTCTTTGATTGCTTATATGACATTCTAAAAAATAAAGTGTTACTGAAATTATTCCATTATATTAAAAAAGACAAATATTTAAAAGATAAACATTTTCAAAATGAAATTTAATTATCTTTGTAATTTGCGTAAAAGGTAATATTACAAATATTACTTATTAAGTAAATCTTCATCATCTGAAGAATCTAAACCAAGTTTCGATTTAGAATCATTTGCAGATGAATGAAAAGAAACCTCAAGTTTATTTAATTTTACTGCATTCATAATGATTCTACCTTTACCTTCTGCCTCCTCCATCCTCTTGAGCCAAATATTTTTATTTTTAAATGAATTTTGTAATACTTCATCCAGTTCTTCTGTAATATACATGCATGCTTTCCTTTTTGATCAAACTGAATAATTTTTTTTGGATTCTCAGTACAAAAATGATTCTGATTTACTTTTTGTTCAGTATTTGCCAATGAACTGTCAAAGTGTGTATTACTCTCCTAAAAACTTATTCTGCATTTTAAAGAAGTTGCCATCGCTAGAGTTTCAGTTCAATGATTTAAGGTATTTTATCCCTGACCACTGATAATAAAACCCTGATCCACTGATAATAAAATCTTGAATCTCTGCTTTCTTCCAAGCGTCTATTACAACTGAGACAACACATTTTTGTTCAGAATTCTTGCAGAAACTATCTTTGCAGACCATATCCCTGTTCTCAAGCTTTGAGGGCAGGCCACTATCAACTTAGTATATTGAAATCTTAATGATCTAAAATAAAAATAAACAAGTATTTATCATTTATGGCTTTTTGTTCTTGCGTAAATTTTTACTTTATTGTGCCTCATTTTAAACAGTTAATAAGTTAAAAAATATGTATTGCATAAAATAGACCAATTTTTAATTTTATCATTGTTTTATAATATATCATATTTAAAAATATAATTATTTGTTCTACCTGGAAGATTTTAGAAACTGGATGTATCTTAGAATATTTCCAATGGTTTCCATACTTTAGGTAAAATAGCAGCCTCCTTGGATTTGTTGACATTGTGTACTTTCTCTTCTCAGCCTTCTTTTTTTTATTTTTTTTGAGTACGACTCATTAGAGTTTATACTTTATTATTAGTTAATGCTAAAATAAATTAAAAAAAATTTAATTTTAGAGTCCTCCTTAAAGATATTACATTTTATTATACAATTTTCAAGTAAATATATATATATATATATATATATATATATATATATATATATATATATATGTATATGTATATGTATATGTATATGTATATGTATATATATTGAAGATATACATTACTATTACATAATTATATATAAACTTACCATAAAACATATAGATTTTGTTTTTATGTTTTATGGTAACTTTGTGTCAAATTCTTTTTGCCCACCTCTAACAGTTTGAGGTAAGCAATTTATTGCTGACCTCATTTTGCCTAATTTCGTAGGTTATATATATATATATATATATATATATATATATATATATATATATATATATATATATATATATATATATATATATATATATATATATATATATATAAATATATACATATATATATATATATATATATATATATATATATATATATATATATATATATATATATATATATATATATATATATATATATACAGGGTTCCCACACCTCCTTAAAAACCTTAAATATCCTTAAAAAATAAAAACCTCCTTAAATGTCCTTAAATAACCTTAAAAAAAGTTAAAATTTGACTGCTCTTCTTAATTTCTCCTTATTTTTTTTTATTCATCTAGAAAAATTTTTTAAAGTGAATGGATTATACTTGTTAATAAAGAAGATAATATATAGATTTTTGATAGTTTTCAAACCTATTTTTGTTATTATATATATATTAAAATTTATATATATATATATATATATATATATATATATTATAGCGGCATAAAGTAAGTATACACCATTGAGTTTTGCATACATTTATTATTTTAAGCAATTAAAAACACTGTAAATTGTTGCAAACACAATTTTTATTTATCAGAATCATCAAAAACAACACTCTGTATCAAGAACATGCAGTTTGATCAATATTTATTATGGTAACCTCGCGCTTTAATAACATGTTTCATACGGTTTGGCATTGACTCAAACAGGCAAGTAATTATAACATCAATATTGTTCCATGCATCTTGAAAAATTAACCAGACTATCCAAGTTAGATGGTCTCTTTCCTTCAATGTTCTTTGCCATAACGCTCCACAAATTTTAAATCGGATTCATGTCCGGGCTCTGAGCAGGCCAATCAAGTACTGCCACCTGATTACGCCGAAGAAAATCTGTGACTGTCTTGGCCTTGTGGCATGGTGCATTGTCATGCTGAAAGAAGAACGAGTTAAGTTGCCCAAACAGTGCACTAGCAAGAGGAAACATTGTGTTTTGTAGTACATCAATGTACTGGTGTTGGTTCATACTTCCAGTACATCGATAAAGGTGCCCAATCCCATACCCAGACATACACCCCCAAATCATTAAACTCTTTCCTCCATGCTTGACAGTTGGCGCAATACAGTTTTTACTGAATTTTTCACCAACTTTTCTTCGCACAATTACTCGTTTGGAACTAAGGAACAACTTAAAAGAACTTTCATCACTGAACAGGACATGTTTCCAATCATCTACTGTCAAGTCTTTGTGTGCTTTAGCAAATGCCAATTGTCGACGAATGTTTGTAGCTGAAAGCAGTGGCTTCTTTACAGCCACACATCCACGAAGACCTGCTTTCAGAAGGCGCTGACGTACAGTTCGAGTTGCCAGAGTAACCCCATGTTCTTCAGAAAGTTTTCGACCGAGTTGAGGGGCAGTGAGTCTACGATCCTGCAAGGACATTCGAACTAACACTCTGTCAGTGTGTGGAGTTGTTTTCTTTGGTCTTCCAGATCGCCTCTTATCAGCTATTGAACTAGTTTTGATATGTTTATCTATTATTTTCTTAATACCCATTGGTGTTGCTTTAAGTTCTCTGGCTATTTTTCTTAAACTTGGACCTGTTTCTGCCAAGAACACTGCGCGAAGTCTTTCTTCTGTTGTCAGTCGATGATATTTGGGCATACTTTCAAATATAAAAATGAATAATTACACAAGATATATCAGACAAATGGCCAAATATGAATAATGAAAAGCCAAAGACATTAATTAATCAGTATTAGCTTAAACTAACAAATTGTAACTAAAAATTCTCTAAAACCCAACATGCATCTCAACAATAGATAATAATAATTTATTAATGACTTGGCCTAAAGTCAAAACTGGTCAGAACCATTTTGAAAGTTTTTAGGACAATAAAAAAAAGTTATTTGTTAATTGTTATTAAAAACTTAATTATAATAACAATACTATAACATTGTAAAACAATTACTAACCTTGTCTTCAAAATTTGCACAATTAAACAATACAAAGTTAACTCTTTAAAGTTTAATTTTTAGTACACAACATGAGTCACACTTGCTATTGTAAACAGGAAGTGCAAAGAATATTGATTAAGTAAATTCACAGAATGCAATAATTGCTTCTATTATGTTTCTAAAAATAAAAATTACCACATTAAACTATTATTTTTACGATTTGGATAGGGTGTATACTTACTTTCAGCCGCAATAGTATATATATATAATAATAATTTCTCTGTTTATATTTAAATTTTATTAAAAAAATTATATTATGTTTTTAATGTAATCATTTATATATATATTATATATATATATATATATATATATATATATATATATATATATATATATATATATATATATATATATATATATACATATATATATATATATTATATATATATAACATATATATATATATATATATATATATATATATGTATATATATATATATATATATATATATATATATATATATATATATATATGTATATATATATATATATATATATATATATATATATATATGTATATATATATATATATATATATATATATATATATATATATATATATATATATATATATATATATATATATATATATATATATATATATATATGTATATATAAATATATATATATATGCAAGGTGTTTTTTTATATTGATTTGATATTTTTTTAAATATTTAACATTAAAAATCATTCACTTATAGATATATTTATAGATGTATAAAATTTTTGGGTATTCAAAATCTGCAGATCTGATCATCTGTAATTTTAAATTTCTACTAAACACTAACTACTTGGGTGTTTCACCTACTAAAGATGTTTAAAATGATCAGTAAGTTTATTTAAGAGTTATTTACAATGTTTATTAATAACAGTTTTTGCAAAATTTAATACTGGTTTTGAACTAATTTTTTAAATAATGTTTTTGTTTTTTAAAGACTTTCTGTCCCAAGGTCTGAAGGGAAATTAGCTGACAAATCTTCTCTTTCTAATTTTTTTATTTATTTAATAGTTTTTTTTTCTACTTTTTTTTTTCAACCTTAACAAATAATATCGCTGTTAATTAGAACAATTAATTCTATACCACTCACTTATGAAGCTCTACAACTACACTAGATTTTAAATCAACTGAACTAATTCATTTCAACCAAGTTGTCTCTAAGTTCACTCATTCTAGACTTCGAATAATCAATACCTAATTTATCATTTGTAGATATATATATAAAATGATGACTTTTAGCTAAAAATTTAACTTTGATTTTTGTCAATCATTTTTCTCAACTTTCAAAATTTTCTATAAACAAACTCTCTTATGCAGACATATCTTTGTTTGTTAAAAAATAATTGTATGAAACAGTTGTTTATTATAATAATTATTAAAAAGGGAAGTCTTGGTAAGTCAGAAAAGTTGCAATGGAATAATTGTGTTTTTGTTGTTAAACTAAAAAAAGTTTATACCTTAAAGGTGTGTAAACTTTTTATTGCAAAAGTTTTTACACATTTGTATAACCAAAAATATGATAGATTGCCATATTAAAGTTAAAATCTGTTGATGAACATAAATTTAATTTAAGCTAATAATTAAAATATCTTTTAAAACATATTGAGGCTGCATTTGTGGAAAATACAACCAGGGTTTTTTTTACTAGGCTCTAATTGATGCTTTAATTTTTTTTTTTGCTCTGCAATATATATTCTAGACATTTTAAGTAAAAAATTAAGTAAAACCATAAGCATAACTGAAAAAACCTTTTAAATTTAATCATTTTATAAGCAATCACAAAAACATAATTTTGTGATTTTTTAGGGGTAGGTGTTATTGTGTGTACACACATCAACTGATTTTTTTAAATGTATATATGTTGGTATATACATACTATAGTTATTTTAGTTTTTTTTAGAATACGTGAAATGCAGAGAAGTCATAATAGTGCATGCAGAAACAGAGAATGAGTTTACTGTTCTTTTTTACAGTAGAAGTCTTCTATTTACCATAATATTTTATCTCTTGGGTATTTGTACTGCTGGAATTATTTTCCTTGTTGGGTACTGGTACCCTATTCGTCGTTTAAAACTCACACATAACAGATGTAACATAAAAGAAGCAACATCAGTGAAAATAAAAAAAAAAGAAGGAAAAGATGTTTATGTGTCCAAAATAAATGAAATATTTTTAGGAGATATGCTGTATGACGAAAAAGACTTTACGGAATTTGAAAAAACTATTATTTCGAAATCAAGTGTAAGATATTTTGAATTTATGTTTCTACGTTACATAATTAGTGAAGAAGACAATGAAATTATTCCTCTTGTAAACGCAGAAAAAAATTGGAGTTTTTTGGATATTCGTCGTTGTAAGCATGGAACTAATATTAATTCTGTAGCAACTAAATTAATATTATATAGTGATAACTTCATTAAAATTCCAGTAAAATCATTTTGGATGGTCTTTTTACAATTATCTTTAGATCCGTTTTATGTTTTCCAAGTGATTAGTATAATTATATGGTGTTTAGAAGATTATACCGTATATGCTATCATTATAGTTATTACAACATTGTTATCATTGACATTAAACTCGTATCAAACAAAACAAGCTATGGTAAAACTACGTGATATGATTCCCCCACCCTCAGATGTACAAGTTTTGCAAAGAGCAAGTCTTTCAACTTCTTTTATTAAAGTTGTTTTTAAGTCAACAAAAGAATTAGTTCCTGGTGATATTTTAGTCATTCCAGCTAAAGGTATGGAGTTACCTTGTGATGTGGTTTTATTAAAAGGACGGTGTGTTGTTAATGAAAGCTCACTAACAGGTGAGAGTATACCAAGTACTAAAATAGCAATAGATGAAGCATTGAAGTCTGAATGGTTTTACAGTGTAAGTTTGCACAAGCAACACACCATGTTTAATGGTACAAATATTATACAAGCACAAACTGATGCTGGAGAAGAAAATGTTTTAGCTTTAGTTATTCGTACTGGCTTTTACACTCTAAAAGGAGAATTGATTCGATCTATTATATATCCAAAACCTGTACACTTCACTTTTTTTCGAGATTCAATGAAGTTTTTACTGTGGATTTCAGCAATAGCATTAGTTGGTTTTATTTACTCAGTTGTAATTTTCAAACAACAAGGTGCCAGTAATATTGAACTAATTAAAAAGGCATTTGATTGCTTCCTAATAATTATACCTGCTGCTCTTCCAGCAACTATGACAGTTGGGTTGCTGAATGCAGCTCGGAGGTTAAAGGATAATGATATATTTTGTGTTGATCCAAATCGCATTAATGTTTGTGGAAAAGTTAAACTTGTTGTGTTTGATAAGACAGGGACTCTCACAGAAGATCAATTAACAGTATCTGGTGTTATACCAGTTGTTAGTGGAAACATGATGCCCTTATATAAAATACCCAATGAGATAGTGCATTTTCCTATATATAAAGGTATATAATGTTTTTTTTTTCTATTTTTTTATACAGATACTACATGCATTGCATAAATAATTTACACTTATGTTTTTACAGACACTAGTATATTCAGGTCTTGGCATGAAGTGGGAGCGATTGCTCCCTTCACGTGAAACACACTTGTTAATGAAATATTTATGAAAAAAATATTGTTCTTTGAGTTAATAGCCCAATATTGATAAAAAATAATTTTAACAAATCTTTATAGAATTTTATAAATTATTATTTAAATAAAATGTTAAAAAGCTTTTTTATTAAAATTATAACTTAATTAAAATTATAAACTCATTTGAGAAAAAGTTTAAGTTTGTTAAAACGTTTGTTAAAAAAAGTTATAAAAGTTCTTTAAGCGTTAGCAACGAAAAAACATTAAATATGTTTTAAGGAAAAGAAATCGTTATTTGATTGTTTTAATGTTTTAATGATGCGAAAACATTATGAATTTATATTTTAATTAAACGAATGAAATAATGAATAAAATGAAAGCTTATGAACTTCTTTCAAATAAATTTGATGTAATAATAAAAAAAATTGACTGTAATATTAAGTTAAAGATAAAAACAATAACAAAGAAAATAGATAATAAATAAATTTATTCTTTAAAACAAGATCATTAAGAGCTAGGTGGGAAAAAAAACATAATCAGATGCGATCAAATAGTAAGTATTTAGGAAGTTGAAAGAATTTCAAATGTTTTGTCAGGCAGTGCGCTGCTAAATAATAATTTTAAAATATTTATCGTCTAAAGAATGCTGTATAACAAATTAAAACTTAATAAAATTGTGTGGAACACCTATATCCAAAAATAAATGATTGCTCCCGATAACTTAATGACAAGCGTGCATAATCGCACTCGCTAAAAAAATATTTGAGTTTTACGGGCGCGAAACATCTCACTGGACAATTTTCTTCGTGCCAAGGCCTGTATATTACATTTTGATTTCTATGCATTTTGGCACTAATGTATTAGAAGTGGTGCAGTATGAGAGTGCTTTTTTTTATGTAAATGGTCTTCATAGTGAATACTACTTTCCTGGATGTTCAGCATCTGCGCTAATATAGCAGTAGACCATTTTGGCTAAGTTACAAAATTAAATTATTTTATCAATACAAAGAAGCCAAAAGTGTGTTCTTTAATAAATGTACTTTTGACTAACTGTTAACTTGTCTTTCAATTTTTTTCATGCTGTTGTTCTAGCTGTTTTGTTTTTTTATGCTGTTGTTCTAGCTGTTTTGTTTTCTGTTTTATAAACATTGTAAAATAGGAAATAAACTTTTTAAAAACTTTTGGTCTGTTGTTGCTTTTATGACACTTCTTATTTGGAATCAAAATTGTTTCTGCAGATCTTGGTATGTGGTCTTTGTAAGGCTAAAATAAGATGAAAAAGAATAAGCAAGCAGCTCTAGCCCAGTGGATAGAGTGATGTTTCAGAATTAAGAAAATAAACATTCAGGCTTTGTTCTTTCAGGCCTTTGAAAGTCCATTAGGTACTTTCAGGAATGTGGTGGATATGAACTCTATACTTTTAAAGTGAACACACTACCACTACACCACTACCAGTTACTTACACTGTTGTTAAAGACTCTAAATTGTGTTTGCTGCATATATATTTTATGAACATCTACATAAAGATTTTTATATATAAGGAAAACAAAGAGATTTTCTCATCTATTAGACCACAAAATAATTCTTTTCACTAAATTTATTTTTAAAATAATTTATTTTAAAATATTTTACAAAAGTATTAGTCATAACAGTTAATAAAATGTGTTTATGTGAGTGCTAATGTAAATGTGTTTAATGTACATAACAATCCCCTAGTCAAAAAGTCCTATATTTGGAACAAAAAAAATTTCAGATTTGTGCCCAATTGAATTAAAACAAGTAAAATAAGTTCAAATGTTTATAGTTATCAAAGTTTTGTCTTTTTTTTTTTTTGTTCCAAAATCCTAAAGGTTCTATATGACTTTTTGGCTAGGGTCAGCTAAAACAGTGTTTCATTTGTGTATTAGCTAAAATACACTTTATGTCTACATGTCATAAAGTGTATTTTAGCTATGTTTATATTATAACAACCTCTCTATTTAAAAGTGTTTCAGTTGTGTCTACATTTCTACGTGTGATGTGATAACATCTCAATTTAAATTGGTTTCAGCTATGTCTACATGTCATAACCTATCTATTATTGATGAAGAATATCTGGGAGATCCAATTGATATGTTTATGTTTCACTTTACTGGATGTAAACTGTATGACTCAAGTCTAGAAAATGTGTCTTTATTTGAATACATTTCGAAAAAGTATAAACCACATGTTAAAACTCTTGTCACACAGCAATCAAGTTCAAATTTTTTTGCTGTTTTAAAGCACTTTACATTTGACTCCGACCTGCAAAGAATGAGTGTGATATCTTCGGATAATCAAGATGATAAACTTTGTGTGTATGCAAAAGGTTCACCAGAGAAGATTTTATCAATGTGTATACAGAGCAGTATTCCTATAGATATAAAAGAAGAATTAGAAAAGTATACCTATGTTGGTCACCGTGTGTTAGCTGTTGCTTATAAAGAACTTACAAAATGTAAAGAATGGAACGATGTGAATAAAATACCTCGAGATGAAATAGAGTCAAATCTTTTTTTTGCGGGAATCATTGTTTTTGAAAATGTAATAAAGTTAACTACAGGTGAAACAATCAATATTCTCTCTCAAGCAAACATTAGAACACTAATGGCAACAGGTGATGATCTTCTTACAGCTTCCTTTATAGCAAGAGAAATCAACATGGTTTTACCTGATCAGGATCTCATTGAGTTATCATTTTTAGATGGTAAAGAAGTTTTCAGAAAAATTGAAAACCCTAAAAAAAACACGATTGTTAAGGAAAGACCAGCAAATAGTACAATCGAAATGCAATGTTCTGTAGAATATGATACTCAAAGTCCTGACACTAAACTTAAGTATGCACTTGCACTCTCTGGAGAGACATTTCAAACTGTTCATCTAGAACTACCACACTTATTGCCTAAGATTTTGGTGAGCGGAGCTGTGTTTGCCAGAATGTCTCCAAACCAAAAGACCATGCTAATTGAAGATCTTCAGAAAATTGGTTACGGTGTAGGAATGTGTGGTGATGGAGCCAATGATTGTGGAGCTTTAAGAGCTGCTCATGCTGGTATGTTTTTGATTTTGATCAACTATAAATAGTCAAAAAATTTATGCTGGTATGTTTTTGATTTTGATTAACTATAAATAGTCAAAAAATTCCAATATAAAAATTGATCATTTTTAAAATTTAACTTTTAAAGTAAGTATATATTAGCAAATATGATATAATACGTATTTCATAAAATGCATTTCACAAAATGCCTACAAAATATATGGTATAAGCACTTGGTAAATTCAGTCATTATGGGCAATGCCTAAGGGTCAAATCATTATATTTCAACCAATTTAAAGAAAACTTTGTTGACCACCATCCCTGATTTTCCTGATTTTTACATATCATTATCTGCATTATGTAAAAAGGTTCAATTTGAAATTTCAAACTTCCAAGTACAGCGGTTAAGAAATTATAGCCTTACAAGCGTGAGATATTGGCCCCCCTCCATTTACAAATGGTCAAAACAGGCTACTTTAGAGCTTTAAACAAGTGTTTTATTTGTTCTAGAATTATTTTCTGGATAGTGCTGCCTTAAAAATAGTGGTTTTTATTAACTTTTATTATATTAGAAAAATATTTTAACCTCCTCAACTTTGGAAAAATCTGAAAATTGCTAAAAAACACCAAAATGAAGGTAACCCTAGTATTTTTCTATTCATCAGCAAGTCTTTACAGGTTTTTTTTTGATTAGCTGTCACTGTCAGCAATTAATGGGCAAAATATAAACAACTTGTTGCTGTTTAGAACTAAAATATATTGCCCATTTTCAAATTTTTAGCCATTTTGAGATGCTTGTAAATTTTTCTAATACATTGTCAATCTAAGAATAATGGCATATAAAAATATTAGGCCCAACTATTAAAAAATGCAAACATTTTTAACTTGTTGTGTTCACAACAAAAAATGGCTGCATTTTTAAATAACGCTATTTTTCAATTATTAAGGGTCAAATGCTTTATTGGAAATAAACGCCCCTCCAACCTCCCTACTGGCGTTAATGAGGGGTGCAACTAATTATAAGTTATTTCTTAATAAAAAAGAAAGATATAGTTAGTTGCCCCCTCCTTGATCTGGTCTTTACAGTAGATAGGAGCACAAATAAAGGTGCAGTAACTATTTAGAGACCTTCATTATTGTTTAAATCTGATACTTTAAACATAATTTACTCAATCAAGGAGTATTATATCTCAAGTTAAAAATGATTTATATCTTCCGAAATACTGCTTTTTTAAGACATAATGTATTAGGGGTATTGAAGAAATCAAAAAGAATAAACATATTTAAAAAAAATGTAAAAGAATAACAAAAAAATAAAGGAATAATAAAGAAAAAATTCAAAACTTGTTAGAAACAACTTTTATTAATTAGGTTTGGTTTTTACTTTATAACTGATAATTAGACTAAGATAAAATGAATATATGATAATTCATTTTATCTTAGTTTAATAAGATAGGAGTAAAAGCTTCCCAATTTGATATCTTGTGTTACTTATTTAGCTTTTTGTAAACAGCTGACACAAATAAAAAAAGTTGTCAAAATAATGCACTAATACCCAATCAACAATATTGATGTCAATATTCAGTGACTTTAGTGTATTAACACAAGTATCCTCCAGCATGTCAAAAATATCAAATGTACTGCTCATTGATGCTTTTAAACAACATGAGTGAAAATTAATGATGCTGTTTCAGTTTCAGATATATAGAGAAATCTAGAAATAAATTCAGATAAATCCGAGAAAATTGAGAACAAAAAACGCAGTTATTAAGGTCTTGGTTTAAAAAATCATTTTCTGCACAATTTTCTTTAAAAAAAAGTTTATTGCAAAAAGTTCAACATTTGGTTTTATTAGGATTGACTTTTTATAACTAAGAATATTATAAGCCATTTTTATAATTTTTAATTCAAAGTCCATTATGGTATAGGATACAAAACATAAATTATTTGAAAAAAAAAATCATAACCCAAAAGCACATAAACTTAATAAAATGCTATATACCTGATGTTTTTGAAAATTTCTTTAGCAACTAAAAAAATGTCTTTTGGTGTTGAAATTTGATTTCAGTCTTTGAAGGGACAGGTTATTAACAAATCTTTTTACCAACTACTCCATGCACTTTTTCCATGAACAGTGCCAAAAAAATGCCAATCAGCTTTTAGTCCATAGTCTTTTTCATGAAAGCAAAGGTTTTTAATAAAATATATATATAATATATATATATATATAATATATATAATATATATATATATAATATATATATATATATATATATATATATATATATATATATATATATATATATATATATATATATATATATATATATATATATATATATATATATATATATATATATATAAGGTTTGGTTAAAATTAGTTAATCAGAATTTCCTGAATTAAAAAATTAATTTACCTATTTTTATACTGGCTGCCTGCATCATCAGTGAAATAATGGAACTTGTGAATATTCTTCTTTCAGAATCAATATGATTTTTGAAACATACCGATTCTGAAAGAAGATGTCTGACAATCAGCTTCACAAAACTGCCTCAGTATTGTGAAGCTGATTGTCAGACATAACATAATAACATTTGCTTTTTAAGGATAGGTTTCCATTTAAAGATCTCACATCTCAAATATAAGATCTCATATACAACAAATGGATGAAGAGCCTGATTTTTGGAAAAATATGGACTGAAAAAAATGTATTATACAAATGGATTTTGTTGAAAAAATTTTCAGCAAAATCCATTTGTGTAATACATTCATTTGCTTTCAGGTTATGAGGTTATGTCTAGAGGTGTACCAGATATTTTTGCCAGATATGCCAGATATTGAACCTTTCTAAAGTTCTATAAGTGTTAATGAAAAAAAAACAAGTCTTGCCAGTCTAAAATAAATAGTATTCAAGATCTTACTTTAAAAAATCAAGACAAAATCTGTATGACATGGGATTTGTGCTGATGAAGTATAGAAAATAGTAGTTAAAAAAAGCAAAAATTTGGCTGTAAAAATGATTTTTCTTTATACATTTTTAACGCATATACATGTGTTGTACCAGTTTTTTATTGATTTTATTTTTTTAATTCTTGAACACTATTTAATGTAGAATGGAAAGACTTGTTTTTTCTTCAATAAACACTTATAGAACTTTAGAAAAGTTCAATATCCAGCATATCTGGCAAAAATATCCAGTATCCTAGTTATGTCTGAGGTTTGCTGACAAGATGATGTTTTTTGAGTTCATATAATTGTTTGTTAACTCTTTTAGAAATTCATCAGGACTATCAGGACATTCAACTATTGTTTCTAAAGAGCATCTATCAGTTTTCAGCCATTCATTAAAAGTTATTTTATTTGCTGAATTCCCTTCCAGGTCATTTCATATTTTTTCAGTTCTTTTTTTTTCCAGCACACTTCTCACGCTTGAAACATATATGCTTTTTTTTTTCCAGCACACTTCTCACGCTTGAAACATATATGCTTTTTTTTTTCCAGCACACTTCTCACGCTTGAAACATATATGCTTTTTTTTTTTCAGCACACTTCTCACGCTTGAAACATATATGCTTTTTTTTTTTCAGCACACTTCTCACGCTTGAAACATATATGCTTTTTTTTTTTCCAGCACACTTCTCACGCTTGAAACATATATGCTTTTTTTTTTCCAGCACACTTCTCACGCTTGAAACATATATGCTTTTTTTTTTTCCAGCACACTTCTCACGCTTGAAACATATATGCTTTTTTTTTTCCAGCACACTTCTCACGCTTGAAACATATATGCTTTTTTTTTTTCAGCACACTTCTCACGCTTGAAACATATATGCTTTTTTTTTTTCCAGCACACTTCTCACGCTTGAAACATATATGCTTTTTTTTTTTCCAGCACACTTCTCACGCTTGAAACATATATGCTTTTTTTTTTCCAGCACACTTCTCACGCTTGAAACATATATGCTTTTTTTTTTTCCAGCACACTTCTCACGCTTGAAACATATATGCTTTTTTTTTTCCAGCACACTTCTCACGCTTGAAACATATATGCTTTTTTTTTTTCAGCACACTTCTCACGCTTGAAACATATATGCTTTTTTTTTTTCCAGCACACTTCTCACGCTTGAAACATATATGCTTTTTTTTTTTCCAGCACACTTCTCACGCTTGAAACATATATGCTTTTTTTTTTCCAGCACACTTCTCACGCTTGAAACATATATGCTTTTTTTTTTTCAGCACACTTCTCACACTTGAAACATATATGCTTTTTTTTTTCCAGCACACTTCTCACGCTTGAAACATATATGCTTTTTTTTTTTTCAGCACACTTCTCACGCTTGAAACATATATGCTTTTTTTTTTTCCAGCACACTTCTCACGCTTGAAACATATATGCTTTTTTTTTTCCAGCACACTTCTCACGCTTGAAACATATATGCTTTTTTTTTTCAGCACACTTCTCACGCTTGAAACATATATGCTTTTTTTTTTTCAGCACACTTCTCATGCTTGAAGCATACATGCTTTTTTTGCATATACTTTAATACTTTAATACCTTAATTTGACTTTAATTCATTTGTTAATGTATTTACCAGAAGATTTGGATGGCACTCACAGACTGTTTGTGTGTTAGATTTTCCAGCAAGTACACAATGTTTTGGCCTTTAAAAAGACCAAATGATGGCAATCCCAACTTAAAGGTAAGGTTCTGAAAGATTTAATAATATGAACCGCTTTTAAATGTATTGTCTACCTGTCTTTATGCTAATATAATCCTTTGCTCCTAGCAATAACCTGCTATTACTATCATCCTCATAAAAGTTTCCAATTTTCTTTGCAACTTCGGAAGTCAATTTTTAGGATTTCTAAAGTCAGTTGACTCCTTACCAAGGATTTCTTTAACATCCCACAAAGCTCCTGTTTTCTTTACCATATATTGAGTTGTTTTAAATTCGTTTATTATTTTTTGAATGGTCCAATGGGTAGGAACTAAGGTGAGCAATTTTAATTT